TTGGCTTAATGCCCACAATGCTAAGAGATACATGGTCACTGCTACTCCCAGTGAGATCAAAGAAATCACAAAGAAGATTAAAGTTAAAAAGGCCCCTGGCATAGACGGTATTAATAATCACGCACTTAGAAATCTGCTCTGCAATGTTTTGACAAAATTCACGAGCATTATCAAAGCGTGTCTTAGTCAATGCTGTTTTCCCACAAAGTGGAAAATCGCAAAAGTTATTTTATTGCCTAAGCTCGGCAAGGACAACACTAAGCCAGATGGGTACAGACCCATTAGCTTGCTTCCGGGACTAGGAAAGATCTTTGAGAGAATAATCTACAGCAGATTGAAGAACTATGTGGAATTACTGCTTCTGGAACAATTTGGTTTCCGGAGAAAGTTTCAACTACGAAGCAGCTGGTTCGACTCGTCGAGTTTTGTGGGGATGCGCTCCACAAGAAACAAAATGTCGCCTTACTCATGCTAGACGAGGCGAAGGCATTCGACCGCGTCTGACATGAGGGGCTTTATTTATAAACTTATAAATCTCCCTATGGATAGAGAGCTGATTCAGCTAACTATGTCTTTCATCACTAATAGGAAATTCACGGTGGCTATTGGAAAGGACTTCTCCAGTTTACGCACCATGAACGCAGGCGTCCCACAGGGGTTCATTTTAGGGCCTGTCCTGTATTTATTTTACGTTCATGGGCTCACATTGACAGAAATCACTTTCTTGGGTGCTATGCGGACGATACGGCCTTAGCCGTAAAGTCCGCAAACGAACCTGGTTCATATTCATGTGGCCCAACAGCGGCGGAGTGAATAAGATCGCTTAACAATGGTAGCTCGCTCAACCTGGATTCAAAACCCGGCAAACACGCTGGTAGGCTGGACCTTTTTGACGTCTCCCATTTTTCGCCGTCGTGCTCATGTATAACATGAATATGAGTCAGTTTCCCTTAGACAGTCCTCCAACAAATATTTTTCTCTTTAGACAAATAGTTCTTGCGTACTTTCAGTTATCAAAGTAATCTATTTCGTATTTTTGTTATACATTAGGAGAAATAAGAAAAGTCTCCGCAGTTGATTTTATAGCCGAACTACCAATATTCAATGTTTTTATACATTCGGCTATTACTTTGCCCCCGGCATTTATGATACATCTGACCTTACTTTAAATTTGATTCTTTAGAGGAATATTTTCACAACTTTTTAGCCTTGTGACTCACATGCATATAGTTACTCTCAAAAAATGATGGGGAGAGGGAAAAAGGAGTCGAAATATAATAATGAATTCTAGACGAAAATCCGAGATGAAATAATGAAGTAATAATTAATAATCATATACAAATATTGACAATTAATTCATTATTATACCTTAATTCGTATTTAAAGATATATGTGAGTATAATCATGTTATAAGAAAAAGAGTATTTCAAAATTTTTTTGCGATCCACCAAAAATGATTACTCCCGACTCACACTTGTGAATTAGGTGTTGGTGTTGGTGTATTTAATTATGGCAAAGCACACGAGGGCTATCTGCCTAAAGGGAGGGATGCCTCTTGTGAATTAGGTAACTTAGTTTATGGCAAGTCACGCGAAGGCTATCTGTTTATGGGGATGGATGCCTTTGTGATATTTTTAAAGAAAACTGGCTTGCATTCACGCGGTACTCGGGAAAAACCATGAAAACTCCTATGCATTAGCCCATTCGCCGAAATTTGAACCAGGATCGAATGCCAGTATTCAGCGGTCTTGCCACAGTTTTCACGCACTTTAGAAGCAAATGCGTATTTGCGATGTAAATAGGTGATCGCAGTGTATGGTGATAATTGTACATTGCTCGTAAGTGACGACTGTGAAGTACCTTTTAGCATTTCATTTATACTAAACAAATTACCTGAATGCGAATGAGTTACCAGAAATAGAAGCATCAAAGATTTTAAAAAGATTGGAATAAATGCTTCGGTGTATTTCAAAGGAATTTTTGTTATTTTATTCAGAAAATTTGTCAGTATACTGCCACTGACTTTGACATTGACTGCGTTCCAGGGTGGGGAATTTCTAACTATTTATGAGTTGCAACATTGCAACTGTACGAAATTTAAAACCTTTAATTTATCTCTCACGTGACCTTATGCAATGTCCGTTTTTCAAAATGTTACTATTCGGCAAACTGTAATAGTATATCTTTCAAATTTAATTGGTCTGCTATTGATTAACAAAGTAAGTGATTTAGAAATAAGAAATGCATTTATAAATAACATAAATCTTTATTTTATTTTTTATTTCCTTGTCCGAAGTAAAGGAAGTATTGTAATCGGAAACATTTTGGGTATTATATTTCAATGGAAATACTAAATTTATAAATCTACTAAATTTATATTAAGAAATAATATAAATTTAGTAGAATGTAGCAAAATGAGGAAACCTATAAGTAGGAAGTTTAATTCCGAAAATTGTTTTTTAAAGGAACTTGAATGTAAATCATGAAAAATCATTTTAAGGGGACTTGAAGTTAAATCATGAATAACAAAATTTCAAACTTTGAAAAAGAAATTAAAAAATTAAAAAAAAAAAAAAAAAACAAGTAATTATAGCTAATGATTGGAAATTAGTTGACTTTTCAAGGGGAACAAATCAACTCCCGTTCAATGAACAATAATTAATAAATGCAAAGGTGTTTCGTCTTTTATTCAAGTAGGAATGTTGATGCCAATCTGGCAAATTAAGTTAGGCCAAAATTGTAGTTCCATGAAGTGATGGGATTTATAACCAAGGTAGAGTAACAAAGAACTCATTCTGGATGAAGCATTTTCGCTAATACAAGTTTAGAAATTTTTAGTGAAAAGCCAATTTATATAGTAAAATTTACAAGATACTTGAGTAAATGTCTCCCGACACCTTCGGTTTTATGCATGTTAATTCAAGACTATTTTTATAAAATAAACATAATAAACAGTAGTAATCTTAACTGGAATTATGAAATAGAACTCAGAGTAATTCAAATAAACATGAGAAACATAAGAAACATAACTATGTTATCTTTGCAAAAACAAATCAAATAAAAGTTGAAAAATTGAAATGTATATAATTAGAAATAATGAAATGTAAAATGTGAAATGTACATGAAATATGAAAGGCCAGAAAATGCATTAATTAACTTAAGTTCTTTCTAGTGGGATGTCGGTATAGTGTTTTGTTCTGTGTCTTACTTAGAAGGGGTGTGTGTCCGAAATCTCGTTATCGGCAGTGGGGATACTTTGAATTATTACAGGCGGTGAACCTTTGAGAAGCTACTTTTGGTACGTGGGGGAACTAGGAATGTTTGAGGGGGGTTTGTTGCGGAGTTCTTATGTGAGTGAAAACGTGTGTTAAAAATTTGAATATACTAACTAGTGAATGGAAATTAATTAATTTCTGACTAATTGCCGTGTCGGAACGAGCAAGAAAAGAAGAAAAAAAAAAGTAATTTTTATTGTCAACGAGCTATTTGATAGACTAAAGATTATGAAATAGGCCCATTTTTTTTAGTAACAGCATAAGAAAAGTCTGAAAACAATGATTTTTCACATTATATACAATTTTGTAATTCCGCTATGTACAAATCCTCCAACTGATAGTCATGCAACTTATACCGCCTTTTCAGGTTTAGGAACAAATTATCATATCCCTATCAGTTAAATGATTAAGAGTGATTATTTAACGCTTGCCCTTTTAAGACATTGGTTAATAAATCGATTAGGTATTAGATTATTTGTGAGAATTTTAATAAGGAGCATAATTTCGCGTTGTAGATCTATCGTATCTGTGCAAATATTTTTAATACGTTGTATTTCATTTAATATTGTATTACTAATAACTTTTTTGAAGATGTTTGAAAGCCAATTTATTAATTTGTTAGTACTGAAATTGAAGTTTCTTGTTTTGTCAAGCAGTAAAATTTTTTGTACTTAATTATTTGAAGATCAGATAGTCAGTTATTTTGCGAAGATTGTTTTATAAGGCATTCTGGAAATCTCGAAGTTTTCAATCTTATTAAAATTATTAAATGTAATAAAATCGTCTATATATCTGTAAGTGTGCTGTTGCAACTTATGATCTTTTTTCTTATTCTTATTATTTACATTTTAACAACATCGATAAGTGAAATTTTGCTTACCTTTCTTAATAAATATCCACAGGAACGCTTGGAATTCCTTTTCATTTTTATCACACAGAAGCTTTATTTACAGCTATGTACAAGAATTGTATGCTTACATTAGAACATTCATCATGTTTTTCTGGTTGCCACTACATCTATCTCAAAAATCCGCAATGCGGTAAGAAAAATATAACAAGCTAAAAGTAAAAAACGCTGCGCCCTCTCGTGGCCAGCTACATAAACTGTAACATCCTCCCCCTCGATGAACTCTTGGTTCATCAAAGGATTGGATTCTGAAGTTATCTTAAACACTAAATGTTTTTAATGTTCTACAAGTTTAAATGTTCATAGATGCAGTGTTCGCAATTTAAGTTCATTGTATTCAGTTCAAAGAGTTCAAGTCATTTCTAATGGGTACAATAACTGCACAGGACGACGAAGATGAGTTCCATTAGCTAAACGGACAGTGCAAGCCCTTATTTTCCCATCTCGTCCTGGATGACACTCCTGTACAACTCCCATCTTCCATAATAATCTTGGTAATTTTTCTTCATGTACTAGAACTACAGAGCCTTTCAAAAGATCTGTTACGGCATTACCTCTCTGAATTTGTTTTACGTTTCTAATTTCAAGTAAGTATTCTCTTTTCCATCTTTTCCAAAACTCTTCTAATAACCTTAGCCGGTATTTATATCGCCTTGTTAAATTTTCTTTAGTTGAATCAGGTTCAAGAATTTTGCCAGATGGTAAGGATGTCAGTCTTCGTCCAACTAGAAAATGAGCTGGCGTCAGCGGTTCTGGTTCTCCAACTTCACTATAAACATAAGTCAGTGGACGCGAATTCAATATCGCCTCAATTTCAATTAAAACTGTTTCCAGCTTCTTTTCATCCTTTGAATACTCATAGGACCAGCAAAATCAAGAAATCCTACAACTTCGAAGGGATTTGCCTCTGTTATTCTTTCGATTGGTAAAGGAGCGATATCCTGACTTAGTGGCTTAGCTTTAAATCTGTAGCAAATCACACACTTGTTAATATTACTCTTTACACGCTGTCGACCCTTAAGTATCCAAAATTTTTCCCTAATTTGAGTTAAAGTTTCAGCTACACCAGCGTGTGCTTGCATTTCGTGACAATCTTTAATGATATGATCTGTGAAATGAGACTTCTCAGGTAGTATTGCTGGGTATGTTTGATTATAGCTTAACCCAGCATTTTGAAGCCTTCCTCCTACTCTGAGTATTCCATTTGAGTCTACAAATGGATTTAATGTAAATATTTTCGAACTATGTATGCTTTGTTTCATCTTTAATTTCCTTATTTCTTCTCTAAAATTTTCTTCCTGAGTTTTCTTGATCCAGAAATTCTCTGCTTCATTCATCTCTTCAGCCTTAACAGGTCCAATTCTTCTTAGTTTTGGGTTTTTCAAATTATTGATAAATCTGAAAACATAAGATGTTATTCTATATACCTTTTTTATGTCACTAAAGTTCTCGATAGGAATGATATTTTCAACAATACAGTTTGCTGTTAAAATTTCTTGCTTCTTTCCTTTTCGTTTCTCAGAATTTGTTATTTTATCATCTTCCTTAAAATTTCTCGAAGATCTGGGCCAAACGTGTTATCTTTGACAAGCCAAGGTGGGCCATACCACCACAGCTCATTTTTTGAAAGGGTTTCTACCTTCTGTCCTCTCGTCAATAAGTCCGAAGGATTCTCATGGCTGGGACAATAATTCCACCAATCTGGATCAGTTTTCTCTTGGATTTCTAGACACCTATTTCGTACAAATTGTTTCCATTTTGTCGGATCAGCCTTGACCCAATGTAATACAATTTCTGAATCTGTCCACATATAAATCTTCATTTCTATGTTTTTCAACGAATGTCGGATGTATGTGATGAGTCGAGCTCCTATGACTGCTCCTAAAAGCTCCAGTCGAGGTAACGTAACCCTTTTTATGGGAGCAACTCTTGCTTTGGACATAACAAATGATGTTTTTGTTAACTCATTTTCATTGTATCTCAAATATACAACGGCACCATATCCCTTTTGGCTACTATTTGTAAAACAGTGCAATTGAATATTCGACAGATTTTCCTTTGACAGATTGTTGAAATAATGTCTTGGAATTTCAACATTTTTTAATTTAGGAATTTCATTATACCAGGTTTTTAATCGATTCTGAAATTCTTGATCAAGTGGTGCATCCCATTGGTAACCTCTTTGCCAACATTCTTGCATCATCATTTTAGCTGCAACAACAAAGGGAGATATGAAACCGATAGGATCGTATAGTTCGCCCGCAACTTGAAGAATCTTCCGTTTTGTTATTTCCTCAGCCGGATCCTTGAGTAATTCATCTTTGATTCGAAATTTCAGTTTATCTGCTTCATGATTCCAAATATATCCTAACAAAGTGCTATTCATTCCGTCTCCATTAAACTTCGTATTTTCAGCTGCATTCCAAATCGCATGTAATTGGGCGTTATTGCTCCTCCACTTTCTCATATTGAAACTAGCAAGCATCATAATTCTTTTCACATCTTCATAAATTTCTGCAGCTTCTTCTTCATCATCTGTACCATGAATCAAATCATCTACGTAAAAATTTTCTTCAAGAAGCTGACAGATCTTCGAATATTGTGCTTTCAACTTTCTTGCGTGATGCTTTATAGTTGCTGCTAGTAAAAAGGGGCTACAGGTTGCTCCGAATATTACACGCGTCATTCTTAAAATCGTCGGTTGCTCCTTTTCCTTTGAAGTCCAAAGAAATCTTACTGCATTTCTGTCCTCAGGCTTCAACAGAATTTGTAGAAAAGCAGCTTCGATATCTGCAGCAAATGCTATTTTGTGTTGACGAAATTTAATTAGCAAATCTAATAATTCAGGGTTTAAATTTGGTCCTGAATGTAAGCAATCATTTAAAGATAGACTGTCATGAGTATGCGAGGAAGCAGCATCAAATACGACCCTTAATTTCGTAGAATCGTGATCTTCTCTGATTACACAATGGTGTGGCAAATAATAGATGTTTTCTTCAGAATTCTTCGGAGCCTTTTCAGCTATTCCTTTATTTAGATAATCTTCAATTACCCTTGAATACTTGTCATAAATTTCAGGATTTTTCTTAAACCTTCTAAGTAAACTGTTCCATCTGTTTAAGGCGATGTTATAATTACTACCCATTTTGTTCATATTGTCCTTCCAAGGTAATGAAACTTCATAACGATTGGTTTTATATTCAATAGTTTCTTCAAATCTACGCATAACTTCAGTGTCATTTTCATTTGCTGAATAGTCATGTATTCCAATTGCATCTAAATCCCATAGCCTTTTTAGAGCTGCACTAATTTCCAAATCATGTGGATGTGAAGTATTCTCAACAACATTCATTACCGTAATTCCGGAATGAAGTGTAGAAACATTACTTAATGCTTCAGTCAGTTCCGCTTATAGTGTAACCAAATAAGGTTTCAGAGGCAACAAGACCCTTTGATAATCTTTTAACCTTCCCAGTGACTATTTTCCAGTAATAATCATTACCAATTAATACTGATATTTGAGAGTTATGGACACCTATATCTGTAGCATCAGCAAGTCTTATCGAATTTTCCTTACAATAATTAAGTATTTCCTTTCCTGGCATACCAATAAGAGCTTGATTAATTTCTGGAGTTTCAAGAGCTTCAATTATTATTTTCCCAGGTCCACATATATCTTTAAGAATAACCTTAACCTTTTTTAGCCTTTTAACTGTAGGCTCAGTAGAGCCGAAGGTGTAAATCTGAAGTTCTTCTTCCCCCACAACACTTAATTTTAATTGTTTTGATACTTCTGTCAGGATGAAAGATTTATGAGAGGCAGAATCGAAAATGAGTCTTACATTTTTTCTTCTATTCTGACCTAAAGCTATTGCATTTGCAGTTTGTAAATAAACCCTATTTTTGTTATCTCTTTCCGAAATTGACGCCACCACTGTGTCTGTTTTAAGCTCACCTTTATTTTCCCGTTTATTTTCAAATTTATTATCATGTAAAATAGTATTATGCCTTAATGAACATAAATCACAGCGTATATCGAGAGCTGCAACGGGCAGATGTATGAGACTTACGAAAGCATAAATAGCATCTGTTAGCCAATTTTAGATTTTTTCTTTTTTCCTCAATTGGAATTGCGCAATTTGAAGTAGAATGTTTCAAAGATTCATTTTCTATCTTCCCACAAAATATACAATCGGCTGTTGATGTATTCGTATTCAACGACGCAACTGCTGGAACAAAATGTTTGTTTTTGAAGGCAGTATGATATTTCTCACTTTTAATAAGGTCTCGCGATTGATGTTTATGTTGTTCGGTTCTAATGTTAAACTCGGAATAGTTTGGCGATGTTTGGAAAAACGTACGCTCTCTGCTTTCAACTTCCTTCTTCAGAAATTCCAAAATGTTAGTCACTGTGGTTTCTGTGTCAGGGGTTAAAGATCGATTAAATTCTAAAACCAATTCGCTAGGAAGTATCCTCATTAACAGTGGGTATAACAAATAGCTGTAAGAATTCGAAGTAACGTTAAGGGAATCAAGGCTTCTAAATTCAATTTCTAAGCTATCATATAAGTTACGTAATGTTTTAATATCATCTATTTTTTAACTGGCTTTAAATTCAGCAGACGATTCATATGTGCATTTATTAAAATGTCCTTTCTACCAAACCTTTCTTTCAGAATATTTATTGCCTTAGCATAATTTTCGGCAACTAACGGTAATCCCTTTATTGACATTAAAGCTGTGTCCGTTAGTAAAGATGTGAGGTAATTAAATTTGTCTACATCCTTTAAAGCAGAGTTATTATGTATAGCAGATTCGTATTGAGCCCAAAAACTTTGAAATTCACATATTTCGCCTTTAAATTTATTTATGGTTAGTTTCGGAAGTTTAGCGCCATTTGTATTTGTGTTCTCTACCGTATCTATAGTAGCAGAATTAGATGGCAACTCATTTAATTTAACACATTTTCTATTTCTAAATATTCTACTGATCTTCGATTTACACAAGGTAATTTTATTTTTATATTCCAAGCTATCCTGTATTTCAGTTTCGTACTCTTTTTCATCTGTTAGGATAGATTCGATTTCAGAGTTCAATATTAGTATATCGTTTTCATTTTCATTTAAGATGGATAAATCATCTTCTAATAAATCAAATTTAATATTATCCGATTCTATTTCCTTTTCCATTTTAGCTATCAGTCTTGTTACTGATGCTCTTAACATTCCTCGCTTCTTTTTTAGTGCTTTTAACTTATCCATCTTAATAATCAATATTCAATCACTAATCGAACAATAATAAATACTTAAATCACAATATATCTAAAGATCACTGTTATCTCGGAATTTCGGCACCATGTTGCAACTTATGATCTTTTTTCTTATTCTTATTATTTACATTTTTAACAACATCGATAAGTGAAATTTTGCTTACCTTTCTTAATAAATATCCACAGGAACGCTTGGAATTCCTTTTCATTTTTATCACACAGAAGCTTTATTTACAGCTATGTACAAGAATTGTATGCTTATATTAGAACATTCATCATGGTTTTCTGGTTGCCACTACATCTATCTCAAAAATCCGCAATGCGGTAAGAAAAATATAACAAGCTAAAAGTAAAAAACACTGCGCCCTGTCGTGGCCAGCTACATAAACTGTAACATGTGCTTGTAGTAACTTAAATCTTGCTGTTGTAAATTTTTTTGAAAGGTAAATTCTTTTATAAATAAAAAATTCATTACAGATGGAAGTACTGGAATGTGCGCCCATTGGAAGTCCTCTGACTTGTTTAAAAAGTTGATTTTTGAAATTTAATGTAGTTATGAAAAATGGTGCATTTTAGGTAGGTTTCCCATTTACTAAAGTCCGTAATTGTGAGCATAGCAGGGAAGAGTTTAGACAGATCTAGTAGACTAGCATAGATTTCTTCTAAAGGAAGTGAGGTATATGTTTTCAAAGTCATAGCATTTAATGTTTTGTATGTCAATTTTCTGAATGGCATTAATGACAGGAGTGTTATTATTGATGATCCAGCAAAAGTTATGATTAGTGTTACAATCGTTGAAAATAACTTTACAAATTTTTTAAAGCTGAATTGCAAAATAATAGTCTACATTATTCGTGTAGTGTAGTTCTATTTGCTAAGCATCTGAATTTTAATGGTGCTTTATCGAATTTGGGATGCGCATATAGGTTAGTAAATCTGTTGTGTTTTGGATTTAAAGAGATATTTAGTTTTTTATGAAAAGTTTTAATTCTGTTAATTATAAATGTTTCTGTATTGTTTGCTAATTGATAGGAAGTTGCCTTGAAAAGTTTTTTTATTAATAATTTCTGCGTAGAATTGTTTTTATATAATGCTTAAGATATTACTTGCTTTATCCATTTTGGTACTAGTAAAAAGTTTTTTTTATTTTATTTTATTTTTTATTTTTTATTTTTAATATCAGATAGTAGTTGTGACCAATTTAATGTACTTTGAAACTTGAGGTGATTAAGTGCGGTAGAAATACTATATCACAGATCACTTGTTTTCTTCTTTTGTGATGTTTCGCAATTTTTAGCCCAGAGGGCCAATTTGCGAAGAAGGACTATTAATTTCGTTTTGGCATTTTGCGTTTGTTCACTATAAACGGCGTTTCACTCTTCAAATTGTTGCTCCCAAATATTAGAGCCCTGCATTATATTTAAAGAAATTAAATAATGAAGAATCTGCATGAATGTACGTATGTTTATCACCCTGTGAAAAAACAACGGTATCTAGAGGCATCAAATTTTGGATGACGTAGTTCTCCACTCGAATATGGGCATCTGGAAAGCCAAATTTGGAATTTGTTTTATTATCTATTTCATATTTTGTAAAACTTTAAACGAATTTTTGATTAATAAACTCAACGATTTGAAAACGAGGAATGGCATCTCTGTACGGTTAAAATAATTATAATAATAAAAAAAAACATGTTTATCTCCAGCGCGCGAGACTGTCTATCAGAAATTCTAAAGATATGCTTTTTTTAAATTATTTTGTGATATTGCTATTGATCTGAATTTTATGGTTTAAGTACGAAGAACATGATATTTAATAAATACAGGTAACACACAAAATGTTAAAAAAAAAAAAAAAAAAAAAAAAAAAAAAACGCCCCTTTGAACGTAAATCTGAAAGCTTCCAGATTTTTTTATAATTATTTTTATTAATTTACTTTTTAATTAAACAAAATTAATGATCAACTTTTTTTTCGAGCCTAACTTGCAAAGTGAAATTTTCAGATTATATTTCATTTAAAAAGCGTTTAGAGGTAAAATTCCGTTGATACTGATTATCTTGCTCCTCAACTTCATATACGGAACAAAGGCTCAATAATTTAATAACAATAACTGAAAACAAATAAATAAATAAGAAAAATTAAGCTGTTGGCTTTGTTATTATAGCGCGTAATACTTTTTTTATAGGATTTCATTGAAATTAAAGCTTTAAAAGGGAAATATTTTAAACTTCACTAAGGAATGCTTTAACCGGGACGATGTTTATGAAAAAGAGCCATTTTTATTATTATGTCAAAATATGTGTGACTGTAGTTTATTGGGGTGGGGGAGGACTTAAAAAGTTAGCGCGAATAAACGAGAAATACGAAGTTTTCCACTCCTTACGTTTAGCGCCAAATTTTTATTCTAGCCCTACTTGGCGATTTTCCATCTTTCACAACGATATCTTTTCATGCAACCCTGCAACAAGCCGTTCTCGTGGGCGAATCTATTTTTTCCGGAGAGTAAACAGAAGTCGGCTTTTCGCGTGAGTTGCCTATCCCTGATCTGAGGAAAAATTTAATTCGCAATTCGAACATATCTGCTAAATTTTGTAACGTTCGGTGCCGAATCCGCTTTCTAAACAAGATGTCTCACTCAGTTACAGTTACGAGGACAACAACAACAACTTCAGCAACGGCAATTATTTTGAATACTGGAATATTAAAGACTCCATCTGGTTTGCTTAAACTCTTCGAAACGGTAAATATATAGAAATGATACGTTAATTTTTTATAAAATAATTGCTATTTTGAAATAGTTTTTCGGAACTTTTTAATTTGAATTTCTCTGGTCTGCTATTTCGAAATATTTTGCTTAATTTGAACTTATAACTCGTTGTTGAATAATAATGCAGTTGACTTGTGAAATGTGCAATTTGGTCATAGAATAAAATATTACGAAAATATGAAAATCGTATTGTCATGATACGTAACTTTTTGTTATGGAGAATTGTAACAAAATAGTTTTAGATGAATTCATAATATTGTCATCTGAGTTATGCAAGTTCTGGCTATCAAGTTTTGGTTTTTGTTTCCGGTTTATGCACAGATAAAAAAAGGAAGATCTAATTTTAGTAAATAAGTTCAGTACTATTATTTATACAAAGCGGTGTATGTTTCGATCTAAATTTGTGTGTATATGAAACCCTTTAGGATTGAATTCTGTTAAGTCATGGCAACGCATTTAAACTAGCTACCTGCTTAAGGGAAAGATTTGTGTTCGTGGAGTATTATCAAAGGAAAACTGATACCTATTGGCGTAACTGTAGAGGAAAATTTACGCATCCCGCGAATAAATTTTAATATTGTATTTGTTGCAAATACGGTGCTTATTATTTTAGAGACCTAGAGATATGGACTGAGCTTATGTGCATGACAGGTTGTTGAATGAAAAAGGAGATAGAATGAATAGATTGGAGCTTTGTTCACTGCATGCTTGTAGTATGTCACTGTATGCTTCTATCTCTAGGGTAAGGTGCGAGAACTTCTCACGTCGGTAACAATCAGTAAATTTAGTTAGCTAGCCGAGTAGCTTAGTGTTCTGTTGTTTTCCTTTTTTTTTTTTTTTTTTCCTTTTTTTTTTCCCTCTAGAGTCGTTACTTCTGATGCATACTTTTCTTCAGTCACCGGTTGCTTGGCTGGTTGCATGGTTGCATAGTTCATTTTGCTATAGAGACACAAACTGCTTGTTTAACAACCATGTTTTTGTTTTTTATTATATCTACTTTATATCAATACTTATGTTGGAGCAGTGCATAATTTTTTAATGTTGCTTTTCAACGAATTAAAAGTGTAGCCATCGGAAATTTCTTTAAGGTCTTTAAGATTTCAGATAGAAACTAAATATATGTTCAGTTTTTTTCTTTGTGTTATTATGATTAGTATTATTAATGTATTTTCTTGATAAATGTTTAATAAGTGAAATTTAAAATGTTGTTAATTTTTTATTTTGTTTAAAAAAAAATTCAGGGCCAGCAGCTGCTTTTAGAACGTGCATTCGGCCCGCATTTAATTTGAGTTCGAACCCACTGTTCTAGTAAGATTATTTTTAGTGATTTTTTATCGCCTCAGAACAAAATACACTAGTTGCGAACTGGAACCTGCCACCGTATGACTGGACACCGGAATATGTTATTGGATATTCTGGATAGCGCAGTGGTTCCCAACCGTTTTTGCTCCATGCATCCCTTTCACCACTGCTAGAAGATCATCCCCCCATTCCTTTCCAGAAATTTAAAAATGCATGTATATTTAATTTATATTTCGATAATTTTTTATCCGCCCACCAGGAAGCAGGTGCAGTGAAGCTGACCGTATTTTGCCCTGAATGTATGAAGTTCCTGTCTAGGGAAATCCCTTCCCTCCCCCCAGTTAAGAAACCCTCTGTTAGCACCAGGTGTGACTTCAAAAGGTAATGCTGTTTTCTGCGGACATTTGCATTCAGTTTTTATGATAATACCTAGACTAGAAGCAGCTTGAATTTTTGTATGGTCAGGACTGCTTTATAAAACAGTGCTTAGTAATAAAAGTATGGTACCTTTTGTAAGTCGTCCTCTATATATAGAAAAAAAAAAAAAAAAAAAAAAAAAACCATCTGTAAGGCTACTCGGTTTATGAAGTTTTTCCCACAGATTCGTAAGGATGCGGGTACCTTGCCGGACGCTATTATGAAGATTTCTGTTTTTTCGAAGAGTAGTTGACGTAAGTGCTACAGATTTATGACGAGGCACCGTTATGAAGGGCGTCGTCTACCTATATGTCTTGTTGACACTCTTGACGATATTTGTCTTCACATGATATGAACATGATGGCTGTCCTTTAAATAGAAAAACTTATGTGGATTCTTTCCTCAAAAGTTGCTTTGGAAATAAGCTTTAACTTGGAAAATACTTGACAAATTGGAGGATGTGGTTGTTGATTAGTTCTCACGTTCGCTAGATTTTGTCTTCCATGATTTCTTCCTGTAAAATTACCTAAGGGAGCAATTTCGCTTCTAATCATAAATCGCACAAGGCATTAAAAATTGCAGAACCGAAACATTCAGAGGCCCGGTGACAATAACCTAGTTACAATACTACTTAGTCCAATTCAGAGGCCTGGTAAGAATAACGTAGTGACAGTACTACTTTGTCACCCTGAAAAATATTTTTTTTTAAGTTCACATGCGCGTTCAACTAAAAATGCTGATTTGAACTTCATCTGCACAAATTTCTAATATTTTTCCTCTTTGATAATAAACGACATGTTTGCATAGATGTTCTTTCTCGTTTGCCACTGTATTATAGTCGAAGCACATGTTTAGGAGACAGCACGTCTGTTGAAATTAAATAAAAAGCGCTTTAAAACTTTTTATATCTGCAAATGTCACCTGTCTTCCAACGTCTCCGAAACAGGTAATTCTACCCCCTTCAGTTCATGGATTTACTGAATAGAAAGTTCCTGTCCACCAGCGGTATCGCTGAACACTAATAGCTCGACATGGGTTCAGATCTCGGCGAATGGGCTAGATGCAAGAGAGTTTTCGTAGTTTTCTAGAGTATAATGTGAAAACGAGCTTGTAATCCACTTAGAACTTCTTCACGAAGGCATCCCTTTCCATAAGTAAATAACAGTCGAGTGCTTTGCAGTAAGTCTCCGTAAGCTCGAATCGCTTTACTGTTAATAGCCACTGCCTAGTCGGCTATCGAACATTTCAAGCGAAAGTTAAAATGGATAAGGTCTTAGAAGGAAATTCAGTGTGCAGAGTTCTAACGCGAAAGTTTGCTTCCAGAAGAAATGAGATCCCACATCTGACTCTCGAAATACATAGTGTTTCTGTAAAACAATTATTCATATAAGGTTAAATTTTTCCTGATTCTAAAATGCGAAAGTTTTACTCGAACTTACTATGTGCATACATATATATATATATGAATCCGCACAATTTTTGTTTAGAAGCTGACTATGAAACGCTCGCCTCGATTTGTATTCTCAAGGTAAAACAGACTGGATTTGAGAGGTTTTCGTGCTTTCTGTCATGTATAATGTGCATAATGTATACATTTATCATTTCCATTAAAAAGTTCTCCACTAAGGGATCCAACTGATAACCCCCCCCTAAAAAAATAAAAAACTAGCTTATTTAAAAAAAAATTTTAACATTATAATGTAATCCAACAGAACTTTGGGGGTAACAGAAAAATATAATAAATTAATAAACAAAATGACTGTCTTGTTTCACTTTAAAGGGGGGATATAAATTATAAAAGGTTGATTAAATAATAGTGCTATAATTTTTGCATTAATTATTTTACTGTAATTTTTACTAAAATTATCATAGCAATTTATTGTTTTCTCTCTTTTTTAATAACGCTTATATAACAAAGTTTTACTTAAAATATTATAAACAATTTATTGTTTTCTGTCTCTCTTTTTTAAATATAAATCATTACAGGTCTTATTTTCATTATGAAAAAAATTCTGCTAATGTATGAACAGCTATAGAATTACGAATAAAATTTTATTGAACAAAATAGAACACGTTATATATTTTCTTGTATTCTAAATAGAGCGCAAATGGTGTGCCTCAGATTTAAAAAATCTAGCACGGTTCTGGCATAATCTTTCCAACTTATGGGGCCCATTATGTACGCAACAGTAACATTTATCATTCATAGGGTCGGACAGGTGTCGCCGTTTCACGTAATATTTTTAATTTATCATTTAGGAGACCTGGCAAAGAGCCAGTTTTCAGAAGAGTTGTTATTTGACATGGCCTGACATTCTTTGAAGTTAAAACATTTAAGTAATGGAACGATTTGAAAGCAGTATACCTATGGATATTATGAAACAAATCTTCATTTTATTTTTTAATATTAGCTGTAACTTATTATTTAATATTCAATATTAACATCCAATTTATGCAATTTACAATACAGCTAATAATTTTTATGAAATATTTTCCATTATTATCATTCCTAATTCCATCACTACATACTTCGATACAGAATAATCGTTCGCGTTCCACCTAGCGGTTATTTATTTATTTTATTTTATTTTATGGTGTTATTTTCCCAAAATTAATTTCCTACTAAAATAGGAACTGCTACCTCTTCCCTAGCTGGAACTATGTTATTGGAAGTTTCGTGCGTAAACGATCCATGCATTTTTTCTTCTTGAATATATAAGTGTTTTTATTATTGAGTGAATGAAGAAAAGTTTGTATATGGTGTTAATATGTGAGGGGATAATATCGTACTACGTTTTCTTTCTTATTGTTTGACATTGCTATGCTGAGTTCCTGAATTAAGTAGGATTTTATATACTATGTATTAAAATTCTGTAGTTGGTTCTTAGACTACTAGGCTTATCGTAACTACTTCCTGTAAATTATTTTAAGTGCTTCTTTGGAATCTAAATACATATACCTAATTGCATTCCTTCCTTATCTTCTGATACAAAATATGATGCTAAATAAGGGAAGGGGGAGAGAAATTCCTTTATTTACGTAACAGGTATTGCATTTATTACAGGCGAAGTTTCAGATGAGCTTCGGTATTGGAATTTAGTGTTTAACTATTTTTTTACGAATTTAACTATATTTATTAATTTTTAAGTGTTTATTTGTTTAAATTTAATTTTTTATTATTTCATTTACTTAATTTTATTCATCTTTCCTGACTTTAGGGCTTCGACACTTCTAATTAAAAAAAAATTAAACCCTGACTTATCATTCTTCAGGTGAAGCTTATGTTAATTAAGATATTTAGATTTACTCCGTAATTACAAATAGTTTTGTTGGTATATAAGTATGTTGCTGTATGCTTTTCATATAATATATGAAGCAAAAAATGGTGTATCTTTTTATCACGTTAAGGAAACATAAAATTCATTTATAATGCAAAAGAATTACATCTTGGTGATTATATCTTTATTTTTTTAAAATTCAGATAACATTTCGTTGACCTTGGGCTTCTCCATAATCTCTGACCTCAAACAAACACAGTAACCACTAACCTGCGATGCTTTCACTTTATTTGGAATCCCTTTCTTTCTGTCACTCACGCAGAAATAGGGCAACCTCGTGCACCGGATATGACGTTGGTAGTAGGTCAGACTTTCCTTTTTCTTTGTCGCAGCTTCCTGGCGGTGAGAAGATGACGCATGCAAATATAGCGTGACTTGCAAGCCTAATTAGTGATACTTGAACTCGTTTTAATATCACATGAAGTATCAGTATCGGATGTCGGCAAGGGTACTGATTACATTGAAGGTTGACATTAGATATTGAGCTCATAGTCGAGTTCTAATTTGAATCCAATTGCATGTAAAATGTTGTAGGAATTTAATGACCAGAATACTTAGCCCAGTGTCAAAAATTTGGAAGATGAGCTGTTTGATGGCGTGTCTGCTTAAGCCTAAGGTGAAAAAAAAACACTATACGTATTTATTTATTTAAAAAAAAAAAAAAAAAAAAAACATTCAGTATTTTGCATTGAAATATCCGAATAATTACCAAAGTAAAATATAGGTAAAACAAAACCAGGCGTGTATAAAATAATAATTAAGAAACACGAATTCGCTATATAACAATTTCTTACTCTGTCAAATATATAGGAGCCGTTTGCCATCGTATTCGCTCCACCACAATCCCGCTGAAAATCTTTTGGAGGCCTTTTCTAAGTCTTTGTAAACTTTCGAATTTGTCACAGGGAGGTCGAAATTTCCGTATTAAATGAATGGCAATTATTGGATTTGACACACAAGCGAAGGTACGAATCATTGTAGCAGAGGTTGTCTAAAAGGTCAAAAGTTTTTATATCTCTTATCAAATTTTGTTTGTTTTTAATGGCTTATAGTTTTTTAATGTACTAAATGTGACGTACGTATCTGACCGCTCAACTAATCGCAATGGAATTACTGATAATGCTCTTTGAAGGTATGCGCTCAAGATTGTGATGATTTAAAAATATAGATCTCTGAGTACGGTTATAGTTAAAAAAAAATCGATATTTTCAAATGGCAACACCCACTTATTTCTGCGCAAATTGATCAATGCATTAAAAAACCATAAATGGTTTTGAGTCAATACACAAGACTAAAATTGCTGGTTTCAAACGTTGGCAAAGAATGACATTGTAAAGGACTAGTGACAATACAACAGATGAAAGGGAAAAAAAACTTTTATTGGAAACCCCAAAGTTTTCAGCTTGCTCACCTTCGCAGACGATAATGCATTGCATGCGGGAGATTATTGGCAACAAGGACGGGCGTAACATCGCAGGAGGAATCTGTAAAACTTCATTGTTTTTGGAGTCTTCCAATTCTGATAAATCTCGTAGATTTAATGTGTACACCTTAGATTTCAAGTAACCCCAGAACCAGAAATGAGATCGAGAATCGCGGTGGCTATGACACTGCAAAGTTTCGAGGTGACTCTTACTTGAAACGTTATGCCCGTTGAAAATTTTTTCGTTAACTCCAATGAAAGTTCATTTTCTCTTACTTCTCTTGCGTTGTTATTTGTTCTTTAGAATGCTATTCTTTGTGAATATTTTGCGCTTGCAGGTTTCGTCATACGTGTATCGTTTCGACGCTATTTATGGTTTTTCCGTGCACTGATCAATTTATACAAGAAAAAGTGAGTGTAACCTGTCGAACATTTCGAAATTTTTTCATTGTAACTGTAACCCTGAGGGCTCTATTGTTTTAAATCATCGCAGTCTCGAGTGCATACCTTCAAATAACAATATTTAAAATTTCATTTTGATTGGTTGAACAGATAGGCATGTAGGGGTTCATATATTGGGGAAGTGGTTTACGACTGCCCTGTATTTCATGTCAGTAGGATGTTAAGGAAGGCGAAAGTCCCGCTCCCCACCTTATATTAAGGAAGAATCTTATGTTATCGCATGAGTACACAACACCTTTACTTCATCATTTGCATTCCTGCAGCTGAAGAAGAAAGTTCTAATCAACCTTCGAAACTAGTACTGCAAATTTATGTACTCTGAATCTTTTTACTTCAATGTCTTCAACATTTGTTTTTTCGATGTGTTATTTTAGTTAAAATTGGCTCAGTGTGATCTCCCGCTTGCAAATCTGATACGATCTTCCTCTGGAAACTTAGCAACAACTTGTAGAATTCATGCTATGACGGGTTAAAGATGATTTTCGTGTAATAAGTGGAACAACGCGGCATTTAGAAGGGTGATCAGAATATTTTAGCTGATTAGTTTATGTAGTATAGCAATACCAGGGCACAATCTCAGTCGCAAGATGAAAAGAATGAAACAAAATTGTCGTTAATGGTTCGCCCAAAACCACGTAGTTACTGTTAACTTAAAGTTAGGAAAATTAAGTTTTTTGCTTTATCGAGTTTTATTTGTATAAAACGAAATAAAAACTACTCTTTTCTTGAAAATTAGAAAAAGAAATTACTTTGTTTGACTAAAGATTCAGTTCATTCTTATTTGAGCCCAAAAGAAAGCAATGAAATTAAATTTGTATGTACGTAGGCCTTAAAAATGAACATCAGATAATGTTTACGCATTTTATAGGATGATTTCGGGGTGTTCAATTTATTTTAAAATATTTTTTAAATGTAAAGAGTATTTTTTTAAAATGTTCTATCTAATAGCCTTTTTTCTAGACTATAAGTCTACCTCGTGATTTCCATGATAGAAGGGCTTTTCGTAAAATTACCAGGGGTATCGATTTCCATTCCTCTTCCACTGCTTTCCAAAGTCCTCAATCATATAGGTTTGCGCTTAGAAAGAGCCCTTTTCAAGAGCCCAAAGGCACAATAGTCTATAGGTGAAATGTCAGAAGACTTTGCAGCAATACATTGAAAAGGTATACATGCAATACCTATGTTAGTCTTCATTTTTTAAAGGAATGCAGTACTTTTCGAAATATGACTTGTTGCTCTATCTTGATGTGAAGTTTTACTCTTTGAAAATCGTGGGTATAAAGAAATGGAACTTTTTCTCTAAATATTGGAAGTAAAACTGTAGAATCATTAGGTTAATTGGAAGCAGAAAAGATGAAAAATATGCAACCGCCTTCGCCGCGAATCGAACCACGGATCTCTGGAATACCGGCCCAGCGTGCTACCGTTACACCACGAAGGCACGCTAGGGAAGTGGGAGAAATACCTTATAAAACTTTCTCTTGATTGTACGTTAAGTTAATCTTAACTTCTTTTCCCACTTTTTTTACTTTTCATTTCCCGTGTCAGAGAATTCTGTGACTGTCATAAATTCCTTACTGAAACTTTCTTTGCATTGACAGAACCAGGTTTGTACATTTTTTTCCTCCTCGTTTTCATTAATAAATAGATCTTTTTTGTTGCGGTCATTTAGTACACCATGCTTCATGAAGGGTCACAATGTATTTCCATTTATCTCCTACTAAATATTTTTCATACAGGGTTCTACAAATTGTTCTGCGCTGAGTCACATGTCTGGGCAAAAGCTGGTGAACATTATGTTTTTTAGGTTTTTCAAGTTGTAAATCTTGGTTTATTAATCTATTTATAATTGCTGAAGATGTATTTAAACACTTTGTAATTGATTTCTGCGTCGACGGATTTTCTTTTATTGCTAGTGATTTTACTTTAGAAACATCAGAAACAATGCTACATTTTTCGAATTTTCGTTTGAAGTCTTCTTTCCATGTAAAAATAATGATTGACGGTTTTTACCTTTGCGATTAATAATGTTGCTTATTTTGCACATAGAAATTTTAATTTTAATATCATGCATTTCACAGCGTTTTTGAATAACTGAATAATGTTTCTCTTCGGAAAACGCAAAAACGTGTCATTCAATTCATAGCTTGTTTATATACGACATTTTGAAAGAATAATAAATTTAAAAATAGCAGATGATATTTCTCATTTCAAACAATAAGCTGTTGCCATAAAATTTGATTCCAAAACATTTGCTGTTTTAAATTCTTTATCAAAATCGTTTTAAAAGTGTTGAAACAGCCTCAACATAATCTTGTATATTTTTATCTTACTAGAATCCTGTCTTTTTCTTTAAAATCTATATAAAACGAGAAACTTATCCTATTTTCAAGCAAGAGGAAATAAGATCTAACCAAGAACTAAACAGTTATTTTATTTGCATTTATAGGCTACCTGATACTGGCTGAACATTCTTACTACAAATTCATCTAAATTAATTTGGTAGCTTCTTAAAAATATGTATTGTTTTTTTTATAGTTTTTAAATCAGCGAAAAAAGTTAAAAGCACGTAAATCAATTAACAACAAAATCAATTTATTTTACGTGAATAACAAGCGGAACAGATAATTGAAAAATCTATTGTAATTATTGAAGCTTTAAAACATTACTTACAACAAAGAATTATATTTAATTTTTCTATTTCAGATTATTGGTGCGGTATGTCTCGGTTTGATAGCCTACTATTCGAGCGGTCATGGCAATTGGAGAGGTTTTGCTGGAGATCCTGAACATACTTTATTTTTCATTGTCACTTTTGCGTTCCTGGTGACTACTTTCCTTATGCTACTGTCATTCTTGATTTCACTGATGGCTGCTTCCATCTTGCCTAAAACTATCTTCGTGAGTATTTGTTCTCTATAACTTTGTTGAAACTTAGAGCAAACTTGACAGTAATTGAGCACTGGATAGGTTCTTTGCAGCAAAGTAGCATGTTTAATTGATTTATTGTATTTTTAAATTATATTTCTAAGTATCTAATACGTTTATCATTTTGATAATATTTTTTTGGGGGGAATTTTTATCTGCGTCATATATATGGCTATTTAGTTTACCAAAAAAATGTAACATATATAACTTTTGTAGAATTTACATATTTCATATCTTTATAATATCTGAATTTAGCGTATCTGTTTATGTGTTTATTTTGTATTTAGACACTGTGTATGTGTCAAGTAGCCAAAAACATTCTACCGCATTTTTCGGATTCAAGGCTGAGAAGATATTTGGAGAAAAGGTATAAACTGTCTCCTGCATATGTTGTTTTCCAGGGTACAAAGTAAGTGATATTTATTTAAGAAAGCGCTTGTAAAGTAAAGCGGATACGAAGACAGTTAATTTCATCCACGATAATTTGGCTTTAAGAAAGGAATTAGTTATTCACGATACCACGATTATACATAACTTAAACTTCTTGGAATGCAATGAAGGATTTGCAGCATGGACATTGGGATGCATCTGGCACTATAATGATGTGACCGCTTATTGAAGCATCCACGTAAGAAGGGGGAAATTACCCTTTTTATGGAAGGAGATAAATGATTTGTAGATGAGATGTTATCTATCGCTTCGTTCGATATCAGTGTGTTCAACTTCTCCGCCATCTCCAGTTGCTTGAACACGCAAACAGATGGTTTCAACAGTTGCATTGAGCCTTTCTGAAGTTTCAGCCTTATAAGAGAGGAAGTCTGCTAAAGGCTGAGTGGATATGACCGCTAAACATTGATAGCTCGATTTGGTTCAAATCTCGACAAGTGGACTGGCTGCGTGAGCGTTTTCTTGGCTTCCCTTGTGAAACATATGTAGGAGCCAGTTCACATTAGAAATCTTTCTAGGAAAGCATCTCTTTCTTTTGGCTAATAGCCTTCGAGTGTTTTACCGTAAGCAAATAAATATTGTAAGGGAGACATCTTCATTGATAATATCTGTAGATCTGCTTCATAAATGATGGATGACCTCCCAGACCATGGCGATCAGTTACTGGCATAAAATTTTGGAGTTACCTTTGTACAGTATGATTTGTTGCTGCATTGTTTCCAAATACTTTGTTTATTTTGCGGCATGCCTTAGAAGAGTTGTAAGATGTGTGCTGTGTACTTTTAAGTTACATTTGAAGTTGAAGAATCTTAAAAACTGATCAGCGAATAATCGCTCGAGTTCGTGAGATAGAGAACAATACGTAAGAAAGGTTAAATTACCCTTTATTATTCCATTAAAGTTTAACAGAACTCCGTCTTGGAGTTTTACAATAGAGCCGCGACTTGAACTTGAACATAGGAAGCTAAGAACTAAACTTATCTTCAACTAAAAAGATATAGACGAAGCTATCAAGATTCTAACAGAGTTGGCTCCTTAATTTTAAATAACGGCGAAGCTATCAAGGGCCTAAAGTACGGCCGAGCTTAATATAAGCTTAAGAGAGAAAAGCCTAAGAAGGCGAACGCGCGCTAGTCAGAATCACTGGTTCTCTCTGACGAAGTCAGTAGAACTTCACGGTTAAATATTTCTCCTCATTTATATTCAAACGCGATTCTAAAACTACGTTCTGGCCGGAATTTGTAAGTTGAAATTCAGGAAGACTGGAAAGGAACTTTAACTGTTAGATAAATGAACATAATCCTTAAAGAGTTCATGTATTAAATACGCTTGAAAAATGAAATTCTTCACAGACATAACTAAGGACAGACAGCGCGGAATAACTATATTCTTCTCTGACATAATTAAAGCTCTTTTCTAACAACAAAAATGGTGAATTGGACTGTGAAATTTTCCAAATGGTAAGCGTTACTGCGAAGTGTCTAATGTACGTATGGATGTGAATGTATGATAATATCGGCTTTTGTCCCGAACACTATTGAAAAGCAACAGAATAACGTCTAGATACATGGACATAATTAAGTGTCATGTTAAATCTTTTTATCAGAAATTTCACATATTACAATTTCGTTCGTAATGCCAGCTGTTGTACCATATGATTGCAGTTTGTGTTATTCCCACTCATAAATTTATAGTTGTGCTATAATGGCGTGTAGAATGTCCGCTATTTCATCCGCGAAATTTTGTTTTATAGGGATTTATGGAAATATTATCTTTAAAAGATGCTCGATATCTATGAACAGATTATCTTCAGAGATGCTTAAAAAATCTTCCATTCAACCTTAAATATTTCCTGATTATTGCTGTTGAAAAGAAAAATAAAATGCAGATTACTGAGAAAATTAAATCTGCCGACGATAATTGGCGCAGAGCCAGGTAAATGCTCAGGTTACAATCCGTATTTTTACATTGCGCTGAGGAGTTTCAAACTGTTATCATTATTTTAGAACTTTCATCTGAATAATGTCCCTATTTAAAAAGAAATAAATTTCTTTCCCCCATCCATAGAATACTTACAAAATGCTTTTGTTCTTGTGCATTTATAAATATTTATCGAATACAACGACTGTGGTATCGTGCTTGAGAAGAATATTTGTAGATCAGCTAGTTTTTTAGCTGAATCATGCTCTTTAAATATGAATAGTAACAATGGAGCAGCAGTGACTCATTTAATTTCGAAACGTTGTTCTCCGTTTTACGATCTCCATTAATATGCTATGTTGTTTTCTGACAGAGGCCGGATGTTTCAGGACATTGTTTAAGACCTTTTCTGTTGCATACATGAGTTTCTTTTTACCTCTTTGGACAAAGTGGAGAAAGTATTGTAATCGCGAAAAATTTGGGGTATCATATTTTAACAGAAATATCCATTTTGACCTTTTCCGAATCCATTTGGACAATATTTTTGCGTGGCATCTGTCCGTACGGACAGAATAAATGAAGTTTTTTCAAAAGCAGATTATAAAATATATTCAAAATTCGTTTTTTCGTGACATCTCTAAGTACGTACGTACGTATGTATCTCGTTTAACTCTGAAACGATTAGCCGTAGAATGTTGATATTTTGTATATAGAACTGCTATATCATCTAGTTGTGCAACGCCCTTTTTTTATTGCAATCGGCAGCCCATTCTCTTACTCGGCTTAAAAGCCCTCACCCAATCTCTTACTCCCAATCTATATACTCCCAGTACTTACACTCAATCTCTTACTCGGCTTAAAAGTGCTCACCGGGCTTTATTTTCGCAATCGTTAATCGTAGTCATATATTTCCAGAGTTGACTCCCGTGCGACAAAATGACCAGGCTATTTAATCTCAGAATTCGCAGTTTATGATGTCATTTTCGACTTGTCTTGAGGAATCAGAAGTTAGAATAATTCGAGAAAAGTTTAAATGAAGTGCAGCAAAATATGTGTATAATTTAATATGTCGTAAGAGGAAGTAATGAGGAGGCCATGCAGAAGATTGTAACAGTATGAAACTAATAACAGTAAGACCGCGATCTGTCATTTTCGCGTATGTATTGATTGTCTGTATAGTGTCGAATAAAATTTTCTGTAGATGACATTATTTATTCTTGTAGCTATCGTTCATACAACTTCCGTTCTATCGAATCGTTTGTAAGTCATGTTATCGGCTCAGCCTTTCCCGCATGGATCGTTTGAGGAAAAAAGAAAATTAAAGCAGACTATGTGTTAATTTTTTTGCGTTACCTTCTGTTTGGTCTGTCACTCTGTAACACAGTTTTATTGTAACGCATCGTGCGTAGCCCTGAACTGCACATCCTCGACATCCGTATCATTTCTGAATATTATTAAGTTCCCGTAAATTGTTTTTTTTTTTTTTTTTTTTTTTTTTTTTTTTAATTTTCATTAATTTACTTCTATCAGTTTTTAGATGTTTCTGGTTAATTTTCAGCCTACAAAGAAATGGAGGCCAAAAATAAAAATAAGAATGAACAAATCTGAAAAACAATCACTTCCTTAAACGGTCTATTATATTATATACATGTTTTGCAGCATTTCATTAAAATTACTTATTTCCTCGATTTTTCTACCTTAATTAACAGATCTCTCAAGGAAAGATGAAAATAACATTAAAAATTACAAATTTTGAAATTATATCCCGGTCAATTTTTGTCGTACAGGAGTCAAACTTCTTTTAATTTTATTTTTTAAGAAGGAGTATTAAACTTAAAAGTAAAGCATGTTAGTCTCCAGCACAAGCCAGATAAATATAGGAACCGAAAGACCGAATTAAAATTTTAATTTCGTTATTTGTCGAAAAGTATTTTTTTAAAAATTTGGCATTGTCAAAACATGAATATTTTCATCATTTAAAACATTTCTGTAATTGGAAGGATATGACTACGACCAACGATTACAAAAATAAAGGCAGGGTAAGCACTTTTAAACTGGTTAAGGGGATGGGTATATAATATATATATATTAAGATAGAAAGATAAGCGTTTGGTTTTGCCGATTGCAATAAGAAAAGGAGATGCAAAACTAGTTGTTATAGCAGTCCCATATACAAAATTTTGACATATCGTTTTTGAGTTATGTGAGATAAATACATACATAGGTACGCACAGACATCATGAAAAATTCCCTTCAGAATCCACCTTCCATTTTACAATCCGTTTGGAAGATGCATTCTTTCATTCTGTCCGTATGTACAGACGTCTCGGGGAAGAAAAGCGTCAAAAAAAAAAAATTTCAAATTTTTACCTGCATATCAAATAATGATGACATAAAAAAACTAATTTAATATATAATATCAGCTGAATCTTCTTGAATCAACTGTATATTTAAATTAATAAAATGCAGTTTTATTTAATAGAGAGCAAATTAAAAAGCAGTAAAAAATAGAAACCAGGGAAACAAAACAAGCATCACGTTTTCTACCTTCGCGAGCGGCAAAAATGAAAAATTCTTAATGCTTGCTTTTTTTTTTCTGTTGTGGA